TGAGAAACACCAGCGCTTGTACTAGGCACATCACTCTGCTCCATAATGACGATTGAAATTGTGCTTCGTCGACAAGTACGGATAATTTATAACAATTTTCAAGACATAACTAACCAATGAAATCTAATTTTTGAAACTAGCCATTTCATTGGACGAAACACGGGATGAAAAATATTGTAATTTGGGGATGGAAAATTTTTTTTTTAAAAAAAATGGCCGGTCGGACAATATTATTCTTTTTTATGTAAGCGTATGTGTATGCACACTTCTTATCCTATACATCACATATCTGTAGCTTATTTTTGTGTGACTATAAATATTGGACAATGCTTGGTTAAAATGGAATAGTTGGCTCACAAGCCTTCTCCACCGCTCGTTATCTCGCTTCACTCTCCTCTATTCGCTTCGTTCCTCTGATTGTCTGTCCCGATCAATAATTGTGCAAAATATATATGTAGTCGAAATCCATTCTCGTATTTGGCTTATTTAATTCCGTTATTCACTAACGTGATCTATGTTCATTATTAAATAGGAGGATTGATGATATATATATCTCAATAGCAATCAGAAATGATATCACTGGAGTCAGATTTTGGGCCACTAAACATGTAATTTAGTTTAATGATTAAAATCCTGATATAAAGCATGTTATGAAATATTTCTTAACATTTACAAAGTATAAATTAATTCAATTGATTATATAAGAAAATCATATTTAGATTAATTCAATTATCATTAAATTAGACAATATGTTTTAGAAATATAATTCTTCAATTTAGTCTGAGTATAAGTTTTATATGAGATTTCATTTGTAGTATAATTTACTAAGGGTCGTATTCCTATAGTTGAAGAACATATGGACTAAAAATAATTGTCTGTAAGTCAACATAAAATTCTAAATCTTCAATACGAACTTCATGACAGTCAATTTTACTGGACGAAGCTGAAACTTCTAGAACTACGGCAAAATGTACAAGTATTCATAAACAATTGTCTACGCAAGATGCTGAATGTCCGTTGACCGGAAACTATCAACAACAACGTACTATAGGAGAGAACAAACCAGTTTTGTGCCAAAGAGGAAATTAGGAAGAGATGTTGGGAGTGTACAGGAAATGCATTTAGGAAATCATCAAACTGCATCACGAGGCATGCGCTAACATGGAATCGTGAAGGGAAGTGGAAAAGAAGATCAAAGAACAGACTGTTTCGAGAATTGGAGGTAGTCATCAAATGGATAAATAGCAAGTGGAAATGATTGGTTGAGTAAGAGTTGGATAGAGACTGCTGGTGGTCGGCCTATGTTCTTCAATGAGTGTTAATAGGCTTAAATAAGTAATAATTTAAAATAAAGAATAAGATATCGATTAAAATTGGTGATTACTTTACAGAGAAGATAGTTCTCAAATTATTACACAAAAATATTTGAAATCCTGAATACGTTGAAATTGTTTTGAAACATATACAGTTTACTAGGACCTGAATTCATATAATACCATGAAGGTTGTAGCTTTTCCGATAAAGTCCTACTATGTATGTGATATTTTTATTTCAAAAATATCAGAGTAAATTTAAGAAAAGAACGGAGTTATATTTTAAACTTACAATGAACTTACTTTTTAATGATTTTCTTAGTATCAGAAGGATTTCAAGTTGTTTTAAGAGGTTTTACAGCGCTCTATTCAGATTTATGAAAAGTAATTTCTAGTTTTAGGTTGCAATGGGTTCACAGAAAACGATTCAGCTCTTTTATTGTTTTGATACCTTCACTCTATTTGTCATAATTTCAATACGAGATAAATCAGTCATTAACACTGTGAAAGTAACTAAGTAATATATATTAGTGTTCAGACGGTTACAATTAGAAACACTTTCAGTAGTGGCTTGAGCAAATAACTATTCTGTTAGTAATATCGTACGGTTTTACTTAGTTATCTAAATCATCTTTTATTATCAGTAACTGTGGTATTATACAAAATACTAATAATATGAGGTAATATATTAAAAGGTAAAAGTTTCATTAACAGTAAATAATTTAATACTGAGAAAAAAGTGATTGTACCTATTAAAAGCAATGAGAAATTATTGAGTGTGATTTCTTCTACTCTAATGGAACACTTTTTACATTCATTTAAGATTTTGATTCGGCAAATCAAATACACCCTACAAATAATGAAAATATCATCCATATAAATGAAATCTCTCAATTATTGGCCATGAAACAATCAGCTAAGAGAGGACCCAATGGAGAACCCATTGGAATTCCATCCATTTGTCTATAGAAATTATCGTTAAATCTGAATTGCACGTTGGTCGTACATCGTAGAAGTAGTTCTTTTAGATAATACGTTTTAAGTGAATATGAGACATTCTAATCACATTTTAGTTTACTATGGGGAGTTTGTGAAAGCTAATAATAGGGATAATTAGAAAATCGAAGACAAACACAAAGCTTATCATCATTATTTAAGTTTTTTGGACTTGAATCCTGGTGAGATTAGAAGTTGGCATTATTGAAAAGCCTCATAATAGAGTGGAGTATATGTCTGTATCTCATGAATTTCAAAGAACATTAAGCAGACAGTTTTTGACAGATGAATATTTTACATACTAGTTTGAAACACTCTCTTGGTAACAATTTATTCACATTTCGTGTTGTAAACTATAAATGAGCTGATTCGTGGCATGATGAAATCAATTTTTGATGAGTACTTTAAAAAATCCATCAATGTTCAAAATTTTTTCCCTAGACATTTACTTAAGCTGAACCAAAAATGGGACTACTTTTTCGTCATGATCTAAAAGTTTCTACATTGAATTGTATTTAGATTTAATAACATTGTTTTGTAGATAGTGAATACTGAATTAAAGGTTTAGTTTGTAGTGACCTACTTTTACCAAGAGAACGCGATCAATTTAATGGAAACAATCATTATTATAACCAATTGTACCAGTGATTGTTTTACTGTGCTGATTTGTTTAACTGTGCTAAAGACAGCCATATTACTGCTCCATTATCTTCCGATTGTGACCTTACACGGGTTCGGTTACGCTCGGTAACCACGCTTGTACTCCTTTGGTATGATCTTGGTATCCTTTCGATACCACGAGATCGACAACAAATACATCTCGACTACAGCCATCAACTGCTTTCTGATATTTGGCTTACGGGGGATTTTATCGGTTAACTGGTAGGTAGTCTTCTTGTAGTGGTGTTCATAGTCAATCGCGACTCGACACCACGCTACAAGTTAAAGAAAATAATCATTTCAAATGGTAACTGATTATAATGTATAAACCAATTCGATCTTAAATGCTCCTGAAATTAAAATTGTACTATTGAAAATTGTATTAATTTGTCCGGTCTATAAATTGTGTTGATCTGAAATATGTAAGATATTTACGCTATGTATTTAAAACAATCTGACCGCACAGTCAATAAAATTTCTATGTAGTGGATTAGATTTGTTAATTAATCACCTTGATAACCGTTATTATATAAATCTCAACGGTGTTTGAAATCAAAAGGCAATAAGAAGTGGCAACTACAGTTTATTAGCGAATAGCACAGATTACAAAGTTACAAGAACAGAGAGCGAATTTAAGGTAGAGAGGCGAATGTGTGTATACGAACAATTACACAGGCAAAGTCATAGTCAAATCGAATCAAAGCGCACCAAAGCAAGACAAAGGCTAAAAATAGGATTCGAGTACATATATACATGGGAATGGACTCGTCGATCGACATGTAAGTGATTAACATTTCAGGCTGTCATGTGATCAAGCGTACACGTATATACAGACAAGATAGTGATCATAAGAGTACAGAGAAGTATGTGAATCTTTGCCATTCGAATAACATTATCTGTTAAGCTAATAAAAGCGCTTATCAAAATTTAACCATAATCGAAATTAGTTGTAGAAGTGTCGCTACATCTTCTCACAACTCAAATCCGCTTACGAATACACACAGATTGTTATTCTAACACACTTTTTGTTACAAACCACATGTCTCATATGCACTACGTCAAATACTTACTTTAAACATTCTTAAAATGATTAGATGACCTGTTCAGTATATAGTTAACCGGATACTATGTACCTATCTAGATTCGATAATTCCGATATTTGATTATACTTTCTTGAAAAAGCTTGGATTAGATTATCGAGCGGAAAGTCAGATTTACTTAAAATTCAATCGCTGAAATTGTTATCATATATTCTTTCTCCTTAGTGAACCAAATTAATTTCATCAAGATATACCCTAATAAGTAGATGTGTGTAATCAGTTTATTTAAAAATGTACTACATCATATTATTTCCGATCTACTTCATTGTCTCATTATACTATCGAAACTAATTTTGTTGTTACAAAAATTAAATCTTTCAAATAATCGTTATTCAAACATAATTATTTGCCTGATTGAAATCATGAGTCAACTGAAGCTAGACCACCATGGAAAACCTGGAAGCACTAGACGGCCGTTTCATCATCAGTGCGTATTCACGATCCCACCTCCCAAAATTCGAACCCAGGACCTGTCAGTCTCGCTCCAGGCGCTTAACCAACTAGACCACTGAGCTGGCATCCAACGGTGTTAATGTCTAACTTCAACCAATCCATGAAGTTGCACCACCGTACACCATTGTCTTCAATGAGTTGATATCTCACAACAGACCTGGTTGAACTCCACTAGTAAAATCTCCACAAAACTCTTTCTGATAATAATTATTTTTCATTTGAGTTTTGCTTCATCACATCAACCCATTAAATATTATTATTATTCTTTTATACATCAGACTGATAGACATTGTGTCCAATTATGTAAAAGAAAGAAATATTTCTTTAAAATCTTTCGTGATATCTCTTCTACGTATGTGAAAATGTAAATAAATTCCCAGTTGTCATTCTGATAACTAGATAACTGTTAGTGTTCAATCATGTAACTAATGTGAAAACTAAACACGCCAAATGGAGAAAATGTCTTATCTATTCATGGATACAATGACTCTAATCAATAAGCTATAAGTAGACTAACTTAAATATCTAAAATAATACATCGTTTTAAACTGTAAATTAGTAATAATAGTTTCTATTCTTTAGAAATTTTATTAGGAATCTGTGGTATTTCATCTTTGCATGTATTATCAGTGTTAACTTCATTTTCATACAAAGGAAAGTATGTTTATAGAAAAGACAATTGAAGAAATATACAAATTTCTTTTTAGAAAAAAGAAATTAAGATAAGCTTCATTGAAGTTCAGTTACATCTGATCGTAAAGTGATTAACCGGACAGTAGGTTTACGTGTATTAGTATTATTATTAGTTAATTTAATCTCCCAACATGGTGTAATGACATGAATAAAACTTCGACGAAATTTAGCTCCCATTACACAATAAACAATAAAATTAACACTTGAATTAACTACAACTAAAAAATTACGCAATTCTGATAATGCACACCAACCATATGGTAAAACTTTTGGTGATACAATACCAAAATAAATATTAAATACTAATGCTGGTAATTGACATGCAATAAATACACCGACTACAACAATAATCATACGTGTTATACTTTTATCTGCTTGTATTGCTAAACGTGTTGGACCATATAATGTAAATGGAGTTTTTAATGATTTACATGATTTACAATGATCACTTCGTTGAAATCTCATTGGAAATTGTTTAGTAATTGATTTGTTTGATATTGTAGAAGTTTTTGCATAAATATTTGAATTCACATCAACTATTGTATTAGTATTACTATGTGGATTATCTAAATATTGTGTTGAATGTAATGTTTTACATACAGCAAAATCAGATCTACGCAATGCATACATTAAACGAATATTCATTACCAATAAGGCAATTAATGGTAATAAAAACATTACTAGTATATATCCCCATGTATAATAAACAAGACGAAATATTGAATGCCAATCGTATTGTATTGAATATTGTGAAAAATTTGATTCTTTTATTAATTCAGTTGTATTTATAGATTGTGTTGTAATTTCAAACCATCTTGGTATATTATAAACAATTGCACATATCATACAACAGCATACAACTAAACGAGATTTTGGTACAGATGATAATACATTTGCATGTAAAGGATAACATCCAGCAATATATCGTTCCACTGTTAAACTAACTGTAATCCATATTGCAGAAGTTTGTGCTGTTAATGCAATTGGATAAATGAAATGTGCTTGAATAAGTGCATAAATACGATGTGCTGTAGTTATATTATTGATTTTTGTATGATCCGTTATATTGTTTACTAATTTATTTAATGTGTTAACATGATCTTCTGTTGAGGAATTATGCATTGATAATAAAAATGATGAATTATCTTCTTCAGCAAAAGGATATTCAAAAAATAATACAACAGCACAAACCAATAATAATATATCAAATACTGATAAACTGATTAAATAAATTGAAACTGGCGATTTCATACGTCGATTTCTTAATACAATAATAGATAGTACATTGCCAATTATACCCAAAATGACGATAAATGGTGCAATATGTGTGTTGAGGAATCGTAGACATAAGCTGAAATAATGAAAAAATATTTATAAGAAACAATGAAATAACTGGAAGAAATTCATTTGTCTTATAGCAACTATCCTACAACCAATTTTGATTATGGTTAATTTCGGTTAAGCCCTTTTATTGACTTAATTAATAGACAATGTTATTTGAATGGTAATAATTCGTCTATTTCTTTGTACTTTTATGATCACTAGATCACATGACAGATTCTAGCTAAAATGTTGATTGCTTAAATATCACTCGATGATTCATTCTCTTCCCCATGTATATATGTACTCGAATCCTAATACTGGCCTTTGCTTTATCTTGCTGTGCCCTGGTACGATTTGATTATAAATTTGCCTATGTATTTGTTGAAATACATTCATTCGCCTCTGCTTCAAATTCGCTTGATGTGCTTATAGTTTTATGATCTACGCTGTCTGCTAATAAACTGTAGTTGCCGCTTCTTGTTGCCTTCTGATTTCAAACACCGTTGAGATTTATGTAATAATGGTTATCAAGGGGATTGATAAACGAAGTAAAGCCATTACAGTTTATTATATTAATAAAATATTTTCTAAACATTGTTTCTTACATGGTAATCATACCTGGAATTAAAATTGATATTATGGTTTAGTTATTTCTTCAGTTCTGCGTTTATAACTCATGACAGACAAAATATCAATAGTTGTAGTTGTCAAAACGTTTTCCATCAATTTAGCGAATATTACGAGTATTAGGTTTGACATACAAAAGTGTTCCAGACTGGGTAGAAATATTAATCTAATAATCTAGTGAACTAATTTCAACAAATACTTTTCCGAGTAAGTAGAGTATGTAAAGTGAATGATCGTTATCAGTGAAGTTTTCATCAAGCTATGCAGTTATAAGTTCAAACATGATAACTAATATATTATGCGTCCACTCTCTAAATCTTAGTTTCTGGGTTAGACTCCCGTGTATACGGCTGGTAGTGAGTAATGTTGAGGAGTCCCATACTGGGACGAAACGGCTACTCGGTGCTCGTAGGTTTTCATTGATGGTTTAACATTCATGATCTCAATGAAACTTAACTATCTCCACAACCCTCTAATTAGTATTATTCTACAATAGAAAGAACATTAACATTGACCTTATTCACGGTTTAATTGAAAGTAACACATATCACGTCAATTGATTCTTAAGTATTACAAATTACTATCAAAACAAACTCACATCATTAGTATTTCTAAATAAGTATTGTACATGACGGATAAAAGCAAATAACCGCATTAAGGAGACGAGTTGTAATCAACTAGTTAAACTGATATGTTAGAATACAAAATCGTTGTGATACTACTACTAATGTAATGAACGAGAACACAGGTGGCGAGGATCAGATGTACAACATTACAGAATATCTTGATAAAATCTGAGAATCATACAGTAAATTCTTCATTTGCAATCTGTCAGACTTGACTGTTCCTTCGTTTACACACCAATCACTCTTTGTTCTTGTTCTCTTTTGTTCGATCTTTTTAACATTCTCTCGGTAGGTATTTCATTTTCGATTGGTCATACATACTACTTTCATCATGAGGCGTCATAGTTCCTCTAAATGAAGACCTTCTGACTCCCAGGGCAGAGTTTAAAAGTTTTGAATAATTTTTTCTGGTTAGCGTTTTTTAGCGAGTTAGTTTTCTACGGGATGTGGATGCTAACCCCATGCCCAACCCTCCTCCTTTATCCGGGCTTGGGACCGGCAGTAGCCCCCGGAGGGACTCCAGGCGGGGTCCATCATCCAGAAAATACAGGTGTCTATTAACAGTTGTCTACGCAAAATACTTCAGAGCCGTTGGCCGGATACTATTAGCAACAACCAACTGTGGGAGAGAAAAAACCAGATCCCAGCGGAAGAAGAAATTAGGAAGAAGCGCTGAAAGTGGATAGGACATACATTGAGGAAAGTACCGAACTGCTTCACAAGGCAAGCCCTCACTTGGAATCCTCAATGCCAAAGGAAAAGAGGTTGATCAAAGAACACATTACGCCGAGAAATGGAAATAGACATGAGAAAATTGAACAAGAATTGGATGGAACTAGAAAAGAAAGCCCAGGACAGAGTGGGTTGGAGAATGTTGGTTGGCGGCCTATGCTCCATTGGGAGTAACAGGCGCAAGTAAGTAAGTAAAGTAACATACATACTACTTATATCTGTCGACATCATTTGCACACACCACACTACTACAAACAGTCTCATATAACAAAAAAATGTTTTCGTCATTTCACTTTTTCTTAGCATTAATATAAAATATCCGGATATGACATTGTTTCTAAATTAACCAGAATGTTACTGATAAAAATTAAAAGGACAAAGTATCATAATGTATCATGAATATAGAAAAGATCATTCATCAATGAATTGATGTCTTTTCTCTTCATATAGAATCATAATATTCTTTACGAATTGTTTTCGTGTTATATGTTAATAGAAGGTATTGTTATCGTTAAAAACACGAATACAATGAAGAATTATTGTTTTCTAAGACAGAGGAAGTTGTAAGCTATAATGAAAATGATAGATAATAATACAGGTTTTCTTCTACAATGTAAATTATTAGAACCATATTATGCCGACTAAAGTATTCAGAAAAATAACTTAATGAAATATGGAAAAAACAAAGAAATCAACAAGATTTCGGGTGAGACTATAATTTATGGACGAACCAATCAGATTGAGGATAACATGTCCTAGATTTTGGCACAAAATCCATTCACCCATTTGGCTAAATAGAGTTTTGGCGTGATAGCTGATATCAGTTCGTGATGAAAACCTTGAATTTAATTGTTAACCCCAAACCATCAACTGTAACTCATAATTCTGATTCCTCACACTGTTTTATTACCCTCATTTAGTAGATAGATACTCTCAAGGTCACTTTAGCGTCTCTCAAAGGTCGTTCATAAATTATAGTCTTACCAGATTTTGTTTATGAACGATTGGTATTATGTAACTTTTGTTGTTGTAAATACGTCTTATTCTTCATTTCAATAATTTGTTACATTTAATAGGTATTAATGTCAGTCATTATCATAAATTTATGAACAATGTAAATCAAAGGAGTCCCATACTAGGACGAAACGGCCGTCCGGTGCTTCCAGGTTTTCCATGGTGGTCTAGCTTCAGTTGGCTCATGATTTCAACTTGTAAATCTTATAATGTTTAATAATTATTTAATTGAATGACTAGGAGATATTGTAATGAACGAAAACACAGATAGGGATGACCAAATGTAGGTTAACTCAAATATGCTAGAGTTATTTGAAGAAAAAAGTCCGTTAATTATCTCAGAATTTATTGTTCCTTCATTTCCATACCAATTACTCTTTGTTCCTGTTCTCTTCTATTTTATATTCTCAACCTTCTACTACCAGGTAATCCACCTTCGGTTGATGTTACATACTACTTATATCTGTCGACATAAGTAGCATGCATCACAATATGTTCAATTTATAACTGGCCTTTCCGTTAAAGTGATGCTAGTGTTCGAAAGAGTTGGCAGAAAACCTCTGACATCAGTTTCGTGCTAGCTACATCATTTAACGTACTGATGTTCTGTTTTGGAATTTTAAAAATCATCACAGTCTGAGACTTTATTGTTGAGCTTTTCAAACCTTTTCTACTGATAAGGTCATTAGTTAGTGACCAATGTCAATTTTGTCATGCCTATCAACGCAGATCAAATTATTTCATTTAACTTGTGGTGTATTCACTAGTCTGAATATCTTTTCATCTCATGCACTGTACTGAAACGTTTGGTGACTGTAGTCGAGTCAGTTTGATTGATAATAACATTGCAGTTTGGTTGATGAAATTTTTAAGTATCAAATTACAAGACATATGTGATATTGGCCACTACCCAGTTATCAATCAATTGCACAAAGAACCAGTATCGGACTGCGAATCAATCAAAAACATCTGTTCTAGCTTACAGTTGAACTTCTCAGGTGCTAGTCATACAAATCCATAAACTAAGTCATACCAAGAACCATTTGGCATAAGTCTTTATTTCGATCTACGTTTTCGGCTAATATTAGTTACTAACAGTACCAGGTTCAGTGCAATAGATTAAACACGTTTTATTACAAGTATATTTGGATGATGTTAGTAGACACATTTTATTAGAATTTCTCACATCTCAAGGACTTTAAACAATTTTATCAAAGAGGGATAAATATCAAAGCAAAATCAATGGACAATGAAATCAAATAGACTAGTACTACTTCGATTTTTCTGTATGTCTAAATGAAACAAGCTAAGCAACAACATATGTCTAATTGCAAAACTCACTGGAACCCCAACAAACAATTTATCTAGAGAAATTTAAGAATATTGAAACATTTAAGAGGGTCATCTAAACATTTCATTAAATCTCCCATACAATCCTTGGAAAAGATTAGGGAGATTCGAACCAACAACGACGAACTGATGATATCCTTCGATGTAACAGCCTTATTCAGTTCGATTAAACATTGATTAGCAAAGGAAATTCCACCCCTTCTCCTCATGAACGAAACAAATCTCAATAAATAGATGAAGCTTCAAAGTAAGAGTTTACTAGAATTTATCGATTTATGCTTGATAACACATTTTCAATGCAACAATAAAATTTACGAACAAACGTAAGGAACACTGATGAGGTCACCAATAACAGGGCTTATTGCAGAAGCAGTGATTCGGAGACTGGAAGCATCGGTCTTATAAGAGATCAAGCCACAAATTTGGATTTGTTATGTTGATAACACATTCGTCATCATCTAAGGGGACGTGTTTTAAAACGCCTATAATCTGATCAACAACGTCTTCGATGACATAAAATTCACAATGCAAAAGGAGTTGGACCACAAACTTTCATTCTTAGGTGTACTGATCACCAGAACCGACAGAGGATAACTGGAGAATCAGATACACCGGAAGATAACACACACAGATCAGGTTTCGAACCACAGTAGCAAAAACCCAAAAACTCACAAAATCA